GGTACTATTTACTTTACAAAATAATTTCTCACTTTATAAAAAGCCAAATATTTTCTCTTGGAAGTCAGCTCTTGTGATGTTACCAATCAGACTGAATCTATAATAAAGCTAACGATGCAAATTTGGTTAAAAAATCCATTGTGTAAAAACAAGCATAGGCATGCTATGCAGTGCTGTTATATATAAAGTGGGTTTTTTTTAATAAACACAATAACATTTTTGGAAAGCATTTCTGTAAGATAATGTCCTTTTCAAGGTCCAGTTTGGCTTGCGTGCCTCCTGGGAATTGAACAGGCTCGATTTTTCCAGATGCATTTAAAAGACTAATTCCGTTTTCTTGTGATGAAAGGTCTGCAATGTCCACCTCTCCCACAAGGGGGCAGCGCACCACTGGGTACAGTCACAAGGACGGCCTGGGATTCGGATCGCGCTGCTGGAGGAGGGCCTCCTTCTCGGGGGAAGTCAACCCACTGCGAGACAAGAAGAGGCGCACCTGATGTATCTCGGCATCGTTGAATTTCCTGTCTCACGAACCCTGCGTATTTACCAGAAGTTTTTTGGCTGTTCTCATGCAGAAAAGGATGAAATCATTTTGTGTGTTGGACGGCCCTTACATTCCTAGAAAAAATATTTTTCCTGTATATATACAAAGTGTATCCAGCTAAATCACAAGCAAAAGTAATTTTAAGCAGGTACCAAGACACGCCAGATCATAAAGACATTGTTCTCCCTTCAAGCTCCTTTTATGAATTTATGGACTGCGCCCTTCATGTTCTACTGCACGTGACTTTGCACTGCCCCTGAGTGGAAAAGGTGTTTGTGATTCAAAAGGAATTATTACTAAGTAAAAATAAATTCCCAAGAAAAGAAATGAAGTATGGAAGATCAATTTGAGTGTTAAGTGGAATTTTTCCTTTCTGTTTTTGTACGGAGCTGGGATTGCATTCGTGCACATAAAGGATAATAAAAGTAACTATAAAAAACAAGGGATTCCACAGTGTCTGGTTGACAACAGCTGATGGAGAAAAGACAGTTGCCAAAAGGGAGTATTGGGTACCAAGACCCAGATCTGGCCTAAAGAAGCATGCATTGATCGCAACCTAGTTTTCCCCTCATGGGAGTACGCAGCCAGGGAGGCTGTGCTTGACTGCTCCGTGAGGCCGCCGCGGAATCCAGTTAGCCTCCCAACGTCCCTTTCCCTGCTTCCGCAGTACCAGAACTCCCATCCGCCGGGTACATCACTGCACACAGTCAGGTTTATCCTTCTCAGTCTCACTACGAGAGGTGTGACCACATGACTAAATCATGACCAATGGATTCAAGCAAAAGTGTTCTTCAAAGTGGCCGGGTGTTCTTCTTACTTTTCCTACTTTTCTGACGTCTGGAATGCGGATGTGATGGCTTGGCCTGGAACAGGCAAGCTGGATGATGAGTTGAAAGATACATCATGAGACTGGTGGGGAAAGAAGACACAGGGCAGCAAGTGCCTGGTCACCATGGAGCTGCTAGAGCAGCCAAAATCTCACCTACCTAGATTTTGACGAGAGACATTTAAAAAATCTGTATTTTGGGCTTTCAGTTACCTGCAGCTGAACTTAACCCTAATCAATAGCAATGCCTTTAGAAAACAGGCCAGAGGTAAGATGAACTTTTTTCCCCTAACTACTTGTGTTATCATTATTTTATCATTTTAATCACCAGTCAACATTTGCTTTTATTTATTTGTTTTTGAGGCAGAGTCTCTCTTTTTGTTTAGGCAGGAGAGCATTGCCAGGCTGGAGTTCAGTGGTGCGAACTTGGCTCCCTGCAACCTCCGCCTCCCAGGTCCAAGCAACTCTCCTGCCTCAGCTTCCTGAGTAGCTGGGACTACAGGTGCGCCCCACCACGCCCAGATAATTTTTGTTTTTTTAGTAGAGACAGGGTTTCACAATGTTGGCCAGGTTGCTCTCAATCTCCTGACCTCGTGATCCACTCCCCCGGCCTCCTAAAGTGCTGGGATTACAGGTATTGAGTCACTGTTCCCAGCCCAGGATGCATATTATAATCACTGCACGAGATTGCCTTTTCCAAAAATAGTCACAGTATTTCAAGTCTCACATGCTTTTTTTTTTGAGATGAGGTCTCGCTCTGTTGCCCAGGCTGGAGTGCAGTGGCTCGAACTCAGCTCACTGCAGCCTCCACCTCCCAGGTTCAAGCAATTCTTCCACCTCAGCCTCCCGAGTAACTGGGATTACATGGGTGCACCACCACACCCAGCTAGTTTTTGTGTTTTTAGTAGAGAGAGCTTTTCACCTTGTTGGCCAGGTTGGTCTCAAACTCCTGACCTCAGGCGATCCACCTGCCTCGTCCTCCCAAAGTGCTGGGATTACAGGTGTCAGCCACTGTGTCTGGCTCACATGCTCTTTCAGAACTTAGCCAAGACCCCAACAAGAAGTAGAATTTACTTCATCTCTGCAAAATTTTTTTAACATTTAGCTGGGCATGGTGGCACACACCTGTAGTCCTAGCTACTCTGGTAGCTGAGGTGGGAGGATTGCTTAAGCCCACGAGTTCGAGGCTGCAGTGAGACCTGATGTTGCCACTGCACTCCAGCCTGGGCAACAGAGTAAGACCTTGTCTCACACACACACACAAAAAGGAAGTAGAATTTATTCCCCTCCCCTTGAACTTGGGACAGGAGGTTGTAATTGCCTCAACTAATAGAGTGTGGCAAAGTGATGCTCAATAAATGATGAAGCTAGGCCACGGAAAAACAAGATAGCTTCTGCCTGGCCTTGTCTTGGGATGCTCACCCTTGGAACTTGGCCCATGGTCAGGAAGCCCATGCCATGTGGTGAGCTCAGCCCCTGCTTCTCAGGTCTGATTAAGGTCCCAGCTAACAGCCAGCACCAACTTGCATGTCATGTGAGTGCCATGCTGGTGAAGCAGGTCCACCAGCCTTCAGTAGAGCAGCCTGCCTCACATTACATGGAGCATAGATGAGACTTCCTTGCTGAACCCTGTCCAGATCCTAGACTCCTCAGCAAAATAAATGATCATTAGTGTTACAAGACATGAAGGTCTGCAGTGGTTTGCTATAAAGCAATAGACAACTGAAATAATCATGATCAGCAGGCAGTGGTCTTGACAATTGTCATTGCCTGCATGCATGTATGTGTACATAAAAACATGCTGAAGAAGTGTCAGTGAATGGAAAGAAAACCCTGAAGACATGACTGGAACATGCTTTAAAGAAATGCTGCATCACCAAGACTTTTATGCACAAAGGACAATATTATAAGGAAAAACATCAACACTGGTGGCTCTGATTCAAAAGGTGATTTAAAAGAATTAAACTCTAAATATGGAGGAATCTGAGGAATATCATACCAAATTTATTTTGTATATATTTTTTTTATTTCCATAAGTTTTGGGGGGAACAGGTGGTATTTGGTTACATGAGTACGTTCTTTAGTGGTAATTTGTGAGATTTTGGTGCACCCATCACCCGCGCAGTATACACTGAACCTGACTTGTAGTCTTTTATCCCTCACCTCCTTCCCATCCTTTGTCCCTGAGTCCCTAAAGTCCACTGTGTCATTCTTATGCCTTTGCATCCTCACAGCTTAGCTCCTACTTATGAGTGAGAACATACAATGTTTGGTGTTCCATTCCTGAGTTACTTCACTTAGAATAATAGTCTCCTGTATATATTTTTCTTTTTAAGGATGCACAAAAGTGATATACAATGGAAAAAAAATCATGTGTAAATAAAATTAAAAGAACACTCAATTAATACAAAGCAAACACTAAATGATTTTTTAAAAAACCATTTTATCATAGTTTCACTGGCAGCAGATCATCATGCCAGCCTAGCATCAGTGGTATCAATGGCATCTTAGATTTAATGAAATACAGGTTATTGTTGTTGACTCTTATATTACCAAATACAAGTGTTCTAAGAGATTTCCACAAATTTTCCATTTCTTCTTTGCAAATAAAAAAAAGCAGATATAAGCTTTTTAAAAAGTTCACTTTAATTTTTACTTTCATAGTTATATCCCATTGTTCTATGAAACATTTGGGGCTGAGCATGGTGGCTCACGCCTATAATCCCAGCACTGTGGGAGGCTGAGTCGGGCAGATCACCCGAGGTCAGGACTTTGAAACCAGCCTGGCCAACATGGCAAAACCCCTCCTCTACTAAAAATACAAAAATTAGTGGGACATGGTGACACATGCCTGTAGTCCCAGCTACTTGGGAGACTGAGGCAGGAGAATTGCTTGAACCCAGGAGGTGAAGGTTGCAGTCAGCCGAGATCATATCATTGCACTCCAGCGTGGGTGACAGAGCAAGACTCAGTATTTAAAAAAAAAAAAAAAAAAAAAATTGTAAACAAACTTGTGTTTGTTTTAGCATTTGAAAAAAAAAAAAAATGCTTTTCTCAGTTTAATATTCCAAACAGGTGACTCTCCATGATTCCCTGAAATCACATAAATTTTATATATTATGAATGTTTTAGTTGGCTCTGTTCTCTTGAATGGTATAGCATCAGTGGTATCAATGACATCTTAGTTTTAATAAAATACAGGCATTTATTGTTGTTGACTCTATTACCAAATACAAATGTTCTAAGAGAGACTTCCACAAATTTTCTGATTTTTTTCTTTGCAAATTAAAAAAACCCCAGCAGATATAAGAGTTTTTAAAGTTCAATTTAATTTTTACTTTCATAATTATATCCACAGCACTATTCTATAAAATAATGGGAAACTAAAAAAAAAAAAACAAACACAAAAACAAAAACAAAAAACCTTAATTGTCTTAACTTAATATTCCAAACAAGTGACTCTCCACGATCCCCAGAAATCACATAAATTGTACATATTACGAATGTTTTAGGTGGCTGCATTGTCTTGAATGGCAGGGGGGTGGGCTTAATGAAAGTGTGATAGTCAGTAATTCCAAAGGCTTAGCTAAAGATATGGTGAACATTAAAGAAACAAAGTGAATTCAGAACTACTAATTAAGCATTTATAAAGCAAAATGATGTGACAATGTTAACTTTATTACTACTGTTAAGGTAACAGAATCAAAGCTTCTGTAGATTTCAAAAACAGAAGTTTATTCATAAAATGCATTTATAAAGTTTGACCAAAAATAAGACTACAAAACCCCTACAATCTTGTACATTTCACCATCACTTACCAGTCAATAACCAAAAGTTTCACCAATTCAATTTTTGTATTTTACATAAAAAAGCACTCTTTATAAATCATAGCATTTCATTTTATGAATTAAATTGCTGAAAATAATTACCCAAACCTAGACCAACAGTGCCATTTTGATATTTTATACAATAATATTATGTCCAGAAACTTACTGACAATGAAATCTCCCAAAATGTATTTATGAAGTTAATTCAATTTTTTTCCAAGGCAAACTCTAAAACAAATGAAATTATTCCCACCACAACATTATAGACAGTAAAACAAACACAAGCATAAAGATAAAATATGGAACTTCAGGGACATAGAACACATTTAAAATATGTTTAATTATAGACAACTACTGACTTACAAATGGAAGGGAGAAGAAAGGAAGTGGCCCCGGAGATAGTTTACTTGGTGCTTCTGACACCCATGTGCAGCAGCAAGTAAGTCGGCAAACACACCCGGGTAGAGGCTGCAGCTAGCCCAGAGGCTTGTGTCTGGGGCCTTTTGTCATAGGCCAAATCCAGCTTTATTCAATGATGGTCAGAGGATCCCAGAACATATCTTAAACTCTATGAGAGTTCCTCTGGAAGGTTTCAAGTCTAGTCTTGAAGTCAAATTTTATGGAGTTTCGTAACAATCAGCACTCTCACCGTTTGGTCAAATGAGCTACAGACGCAGAGGCCCCTTTTATCTGGACTCCAATCCAAACTTGAAATGGGCTGGGTGGACAATGTAACATTCTGCAGAAGGCTTACAGAACCTGCGACTCCCATCTCTATTCCCTCAGAATCTTTCTTTGACCGCTGAATAGGGTATTCACTGAAAACAAGATCAAAATGGTAAGAGGGCATAAATCTTAGCTTTCACCATTTTATTTCTATACATATACTTCAATGACTCTACTTCTCAGTTGGTTACTGGGACTAATAAATACTTTAAAAATCTTTCTAATATTGAGTTGTTTGCAAATAAAGAGCTAATTTCAACATCAATCCTATCTCTAAAATGTGTTATAAAAGAGCATTTTTAGTTCTACTGAAAACTTCTAAAAGTCATTTCTGTTCAGCCTGTATCTATATTTTCTCTTTTAATATATGAAAGTTCTAGGTTGATCTAGCATTCTTTAATACATTTACTTGATGCTTTTGATAATCTTTTATTTACTGTAATTTTTCTCTAGATTTAGACTGCGGGATACCACAGGCAAACAATGTGCAAATTAAGTAACATTTGTAGAACTTCATCTAAACACTTCCAGAATGAAAAACTGATGCAAGCTTCTAACCCCAGAGCTCCATTACATAGATCCAAGCCTAAGGACCTTTCGTGTACCACTTCTATGGGAAGGTGTCACAGGGTGGAATGTTAAACCTAAATGTAACTGTTTCAAAAAAGAAAAAAGTGGTTCTGAGAACATTTGATTTTTTTTCAGCTGAAAATACAAATTTATAAAGTAAGAAAAGCAGAGGGTTAAAGTGATAAATCCTATTTAATCTGATTTGAAAAGGTGGTTAAAAAAACACTCCTCCCCAATGGAGATGTGTTCCTAATATAAAAGTATTACTCCTCAGAAGGCCTTTTAAAATCTACTAGTTATTAATTATGACAACATCTGTATTTCATAAATGCTAGCAAAGGCCAAGAACATAAGAAGCACAAAGCAAATCAGAAGCAGAATGGAAATGAAAGAAGAATCTACAGGTGGATGATCTCTTCCTCTCAAACCCTACAAATCATTTTGATTAAAAGAAATAAAACACTGAAATGAATACACAGTATAAATACAGACTTCTTTCATATATCTCTTGGCAAAGGCTGTAATTATTTAGTATTTAAAAGATAACATAAAGATTTTTTAAACTCTCCAGATCATCTATTGAAGTTTTAAAAGCATATGTGTGTATGATTCAAATACTCAAAAAAAAAAAAAAATCAGCACGTTGGGATTTCTCATTCAAAAAACAAGTCGTGAATAACTAGATAACTTCTTCTAGGAGCTCTTGGTTCAGTGGGCAATAAATATTTACAATTTAATTGCATTACTTCCAAGGCAGACTGGCAAATGAAAATAATGCTAAATATCATTTTACTTAAACCAATTCCCTTTGCTGGTACAATACTTGACAGCAAAACTCCAAACCAATTTGAAGATTAGACTGGACATCTGTTCTGGTTAGGTGTAAAGTTTACATTGTGCTAAACTTTGAATTTCCATACAGACCTAACTTTACTGATAGAACTAAATCCACTGTAGTAAAAAATTCCAGCTGCAAAAGTGTTTGTGTGTCTCATGGAATACAAATTCATGTGTGGATCACAACAAAAACTGGGACTAGTTCTTCAAGTAAGCAGCATAGAGAGTTTGGTCACCAAGTAAAATATGATGTGCCACCACACGGCTTCACTAAGGGGACTGGCAGAGCCTAATGTGGGGAGGAGACTGGAGTGGAAGAATCAGGGAAGAACAATGGACAAAGGTGCTAGGAGAAGGGAACGTAGCAAATGATCTCTCTACCCAGCATTCTCCCAGAACTCCTCAAGCTTTTTCTCTGCTTTTCACTCACAGAAACCATACTGGTTTTTTGTTTGTTTGTTTTTTGAGACAGACAAAGTCTCTTTCACTCTGTCTTGCTCTGTCGCCCAGGTTGGAGTGCAGTAGTGTGATCTCGACTCACTACAACCTCCACTTCCCAGGTTCAGGCAATTCTCCTGCCTCAGCCTCCCGAGTAGTTGGGATTACAGATGTGTGTCACCACACCCAGCTAATTTTTGTATTTTTAGTAGAGACAGGGTTTTGCCATAATCATAGTGTTTCAATCTAAAGCGTATACTCTGGCCAGGTGCAGTGGCTCACGCCTGTAATCCCAGCACTTTGGGAGGCTGAGGCAGGTAGGTCACCTGAGGTCAGGAGTTCAAGATCAGCCTGGCCAACATGGTGAAGGCCTGTCTATACTAAAAATACAAAAATTAGCCAGGCGTGGTGGTGGGCACCTGTAATCCCAGCTACTTGGGAGGCTGAGGCAGGAGAATCGCTTGAACCTAGGAGGTGGTGGCTCTGGTGAGATGAGATCACATTACTGCGCTCCAGCCTGGGCAACACAGCGAGACTCTGTCAGAAAATAAAATAACGCGTTCACTCTGTTTTTTGTGTCAGCAATATCTCTGTACACGGTACTTTGACAAGAACTTTCCAATTGTAGCCTAGTTTTTCAGAGCCCCTTCGAGCTTCTTTAAGGAGCTAACAGAGAAGAAATTTGTAAATGTAAAGGTCCCACATATATTGAAGATGGTGTTTTTCTTCTTATATTATTAATTAAACTTTATTTTTGAAATATCCTTCACTTATGGGCTTGCTATTTTCTTCCTGAGTGATGTTTAAGAAACATGTAACTTTCCCCAAGTACATATTGTTTTGGTAATAAAGTATTCAGAAATACCATTAACTCACAATTTTTATCAGACCTTTAGTTTTTGTTTCTCTTTTCTTTTTTTTCCTTTTCACAGACCAACCCTGAGCAGGGATATCAGACCTTTTAAATGATCTATTATCTACTAAATTAGTGCCCTTGGGATTAAGAGAGTAGCATGCATAGTAACAGCTTCACTGTAACTCACCCTGCCTACATATGCAGACAGCAAACTCAGTGATAAGGTCTTTCCTGGAGGCCAATCAGGAGCCTCAGGGTCTGCTGGGGTCTATCACAATGATGTTATCTAAACTGAGGCAAGGAACCCTATTCCCATCATTAGAGGCAGTGAGTGTTCTAATCATTTCAAGATAATGACTGATAAAATTCTTGGGCCAACTTTTTCATACTTAGAAGACACAACTAAAATGATAAATATACTTAATATAAGAAGATTAATATTTACTAAGTATAAAGTTTAGTCATACAAAATGCTTAGAAAACAAGTTACATAACACCATGAAGTTTTAAATCATTTCAAAAGGAACTAAGTCAAAGCAGGAAAAAAAAAGACAAAATGTTCAATCTAATCCTACTTTACACCCACAGTAACTTTAAAAGGAGCAGTGTGCACTGGCAGACTTACTACTTCCAGAGGTGAAGGCCGCCGGCGCCCCCAGCTGTCAGAAAGAGCTCCCTGTTCTGCGGCAGGTGTCGGACCTGCCATACAGTAGATTTATGAGCCTAAACAGAACGAGAGGCACACAACTGGTTTATATGCTAAATGGTGCCCTGGAAGAGAAACTCTGCAAATATAGAAGCTTTACTACTATAATTTCAACGGTTATAAAAGTAATTAAGGTTATTTTCTGGCGAACCTCTTTATAACAGCTATAGAGATTTATAGGAGCACATTAGAAATTATAACAAGCATCATTTTTCTTTATTGCTTTACGAAACAAAATTCTACCGGATTTAAAAAAAGACAGGTATTAAAGTCCATCTAAGTTTATAGTGCCAAATACATTATGAAAATAGATTTTACATATTTAAATACCTCTAGTTCATTCTGAAGGGGAAAACACTCAAAATACAAAAATATATACTTTTGTATATATATATATATATATATATATATATATATATATATACAAAAAATGTAGACTGAATTGAAAAAAATACACTTTAGTTTTAGGAACAGTTTGAGAGCCATGGCAAAACTAAGCAATAAGTATAGAGTTCTTATAGACTGAATTTGAACTAATAGCTCCAGAGCCTTATTTTCCACTTATTGCCATTGACTTGTCCAGTCTTCAAAATAAGGACCATGAGGATTCATAGACAATGTTTACAATCATAATAAGCTAAGGCCTTTATCATTCACATTAGACTAAAAGATTAAAAACCAGCAACTGGAGGGTTAACAGTTCGTTAGCACCTCAACAGCAGACAGTAAATCCATCCTGGCCCTACTGTATTAACTAGGGGGAACTTAGGAGAGAGACAGAGACAGAGGGCGGGGAGAATGAATGAAGGAGGGAATGAATGAATGGTTGCTGCTTTGTAGAAGCAGTGGGGCTATCGTGGTATACCACATTTTAGTGAGTGATTAGTCTTGACCTTTGATTTCAATAATCTTTTGAGAGAATAATCATTAGCAGATAAAAAAAATCTTATCTCAAAATACACATTTTAAGTGGGTAATGGTCTCCCAGTGATTAGGTTCAAGCTGTCTAAACATTTTATTTTGTAGCTTAAACTTCCCTTCTTCTTCAGGAAGTTGAGAAAAACACAATAAGCAAGGGGAGGAATGACCTCTTAAAATACATCAGAGTCATCTATTTGGCAGATTTAGTAATTACTGGGTTAACTAAATATAATTTTTTAAAAACTATACCTTGGGCCAGGTATAGTGGCTCAAGCCTATGATCCCAGTGCTCTGGGAGGCCAAGGCAGAAGGATCACTTGAGGCCAGGACTTCAAGTCCAGACTGGGCAACACAGCAAGACCCAGTCTCTACAAAAAAAAATTTTTTTTTTAATTAGCCAGATGTGGTGGCATGTGCCTGTACTCTCAGCTACTTGGGAGGCTGAGGCAGGAGGATCACTTGACCAAGGAGTTTGAGACTACAGTGAGCCATGATCCTGCCACTGCACACCAGCCTGGGTAGAAGAGCAAGATTCTGTCTAAAAAAAAAAAAAAGCCAAACCAACCAAACCAACAAAACAAAAAAACTGGAGATGACACTATAATTTACAGATAATGAAATATGTGTTGCAAATTATACATGGAACAATTTAGTAAAGTGCTCTATGTTGTTGATACTTATATACTGAAATGACAAAAGCAAATCAATATTTTAATTTATAGCTAGCTTGTTAAGAATTTAGTTTTTATAAAGCAGTGATAGTAATTTACACACAATAATAATAATGAGACAAAATAGGACAGTTCAAGAAATCCTACTGAATCCACAAGAGAGAGAGAAGCAAAGGAGTGCATTCTAACTTCCTGAGCAACTTGTACATTTTAATCTGATCAAAACAAAGAATCTGTAACTGATCTTTCTTTCTTTTTATACTTGAGGAAGCTCAAATCACATTTCCAATCTATTTCTTGTAAATGACAGGACCTTTCTGCATGAATTTTCTGTAACCCCCCCAGTCCAGAAACGATCTTTTTATTTTAAAGCATTATTTTCCCTTTGTGTTGCTTTCCTTGTCTATTGGTCTTATGCTATAATATCATATTTTCTTCTCAGCAACCTCAAATGCAAGGCAAAGTATAAATAAGTAAATAAAATATTTTTGAACATCTACTATACATTAATCACAGTACTCAGTGTGTTAAATAATTTCATGTAATACAGCAAACTGGAATATAAAAATAAAGTGTAATGAAATGATGCCACACACACAGTCATATTTTGGAAAGTATATAGCCAGGTATTAACACAAATATTATATACTTATTAGGAAACACCAGGGTAGGTTTTGTTGATCAAATTCCTAACATCAGCTAGGTTTCTTCTAATTGCTTCTAAACTACAAAATAAGATTCCTACCTAACTGAGATCTTTATTATAATCAAGAAGTCTAAAGTTGATAAACTTTGGGGAAGTACTCTTTGCACAGGAAAACTTGTCAAGATATCACAGGAATATATCAAAAATAGCTCCCTTCACATAAAGACCTGGAAGAAACCTTGGTGACTAATTCTATTTATTAGCCTAAACTAAGCTATCATTCTTCTTCATAGAAAGACATTTCTCTCATATTTACCTTTTCTGAAACAGAGGCAAAACCTTTGGTTGGATGCTGTGTTCTCATGTCAAAAACATGGAACTTTCCTTCCAGAGAAGTGGCTACTAACTTATTCATACTTATGTCTTTTCTGTCAAACTCCAAGCTACATACCTGAAAACAGAGAATATTCATTATTGGTCGTCTTGTCAGTATTACTCAGGAGGCTCTTTTATACTAAGTAAAACAGCTTTAAAATGATCAGATAATGTGAAAACACTCTAACCATCATTTTCTCTTTTAACTTTTACCATAAAAAAATTTTTCCAGCTAGGCGTGGTCACCCATGCCTGTAATCCCAGCACTTTTGGAGGCCGAAGTGTATGGATCACGAGGTCAGGAGAGCAAGACCAGCCTGGCTAACATAGTGAAACCCTGCCTCTACTAAAAACACAAAAATTAGACAGGCGTGGTGGTGCGCACCTGTAGTCCCAGCTACTCGGGAGGCTGAGGCAGGAGAATCACTTGAACCCAGGAGGTGGAGGTTGCAGTGAGCTGAGATTGCTCCACTGCACTCTAGCATGTGTGACAGAGCAAGTCTGCATCTCAAAAAAAAAATTTTTTTTTCCATTAGTAAGATCAACAAAACTATGTTGGGTTCCCATGCTCAGTGGATGCCTTTGGGAAATCATTATTTAACTTTTTACATTATTTAACAGTTAAGTCAAGGCTGATAGTAGAAAACAAGAGGGAACCATATTCTTTGCTAAAGGTGTACAACTCAGAGACCAATAATCTGAGCGTGTCTGGGGAGGTGACTACTGTTTCAGGCTTTCTGATATTAGCATAAAAAGGCCTCTTACTTGCTTCTTTTGATATCTTACTACATGGCCCACAGGGGCCTGCAGACAGGCTGAAGGGGCTGGTGACTCCCCCAACATTGTACATACCACATGTGAGTGTGAGCTCACTTTTTGAAGAGAGGATCCAGGTTTTTCATTAGATTCTCAAATGGGTTTGGCCCCAAAAAGATAAGAACCATTGGTAGAGGGGTTGACTGAGATGAGTTAATAGAGGGGTGTTCCTTCTGTAGTAGTTCAGAGGTGAATGGAAATGTGCTCAGAGAAACGAAACACATCAGCATGTACTTTACCCCGTTTTTGATGTTTGTCTCCCACCGTAATGCCATATTTCTGAGATCAAATAGTTTGATATCCCCATTGTCATAGCCAGCACAAACAACACGTTCTTCTTGATTATAAGCATTGCCTGGAAATCAAGACACAACATTTCACATCCATATAAATGCATCCTTACAAAGGTTGCTTAAAAAAAAACAAACCTACACACCTAACTTATACTAAACCAGACCTTAAAATTACACTGGGTAGAATCCCATCTTACCAATCTTGACAGGACATCAAAATTATTAATGCAATATCCATTAGTTTTTTGTTTTGTTTAAATCTCTCATAGAATTTGAGCATTTGTCCCCTCCAAATCTCATGTTGAAGTATGATCCCCAATATTGGAGGTGGGGCCTGATGAGAAATGCTGGGTCAAGGGGCTGGATCCCTTGTCAACGGCTTAGTGCAGTCCTTGCGGTAATAAGTGAGTTTTCACTCTCCTAGTTCACAGGAGGTCTGGTTGTTAAGGAGTCTGGCCCCTCTCTCCTCCCCTCTCTCTTGCCATGTGACATGCCTGCTCCCCTTGCCTTCTGCCATGAGCAGACACTTCCTGAGGTCTCATCAGAAGCAGATACTGGTACCACGCTTCTTGTATACCCTGAAGAACCATGAGCCAAATAAATCTCTTTTCTTCATAAATTACCCAGTCTCAGGCATTCCTTTATAGTAATTAAGGAATGCAATGCAAAGTGGACTAACATAAGCTCATTTGCTATAATTTCATGCTGAAGGGATATGTGAAAGCATTTACTGAATTCAATTTAAAGAAAATGCTTCATGCTCTATCTGCAAAGACTAGCAGGCCAACTACAGTTCAAGTACAGAGGGGTCTCGAGAATAAACACAGTTATACTTCTATTGCTTTCTTGGCAGTAACTATATTTGAATGCAAAGAGAAACTTTAAAACTAATTTATCTTGAAAAATGTTGTTCCGGTGTGACTCCAACTTTAAAAGGAAATCTGAAATAAGCTGTAGCACACTGTGACATATTTTTAGTAGTGTGGATCATCATACCTGAAGTAAGTGTATAATCTGTAAACTCATCCTGCTGGAATTCAAGGATTTTTTTCCAAGTACCTCTTGCTGAGTAAAGAGTGTTAAGTGAGAAGGAGGCCCCTGTCACTGTGCTAGGCTATCTGGGCATCTTATCCGAATGCCTTCATTCTCTACTGTCTCTGACTTCGTTTTTCTCATTAACTCCAGCCCTATATTTCCACTGTGGGCCCCACCTAGATGGTACACTATCGTCTTAAACTCATGATGTCCCCAAATGACCTTATCATTTCGCCTGACAAACTATCCCACCCCTTGTAGAATTTTTTTCAATTAATGACATTATTCACCTCACAATCAGCCTGAAAATTCAGTCACCTTGGACATAATCTTTTTCTTTGTTCTTCATATCCCCCAAATTGCCAAATTCTATGCATTCTGCATAATATTACCTTCTGAATCATCCACTCTGCTCCCTTCTCAGTGCTTGTAACTTAGATCTTCCCTGGAACACTGCAAAGAGCTCCTGAACTCATATTCCCTGTGCCACTCATCACTCCCGCTAGATACCACTAGTTCATTTTCCTAAAGCTTGGATTTCATCTCTTCCTTGCAAAAACTGTCAAAAACTTAGAACTACCTTCAGGCCATCCTAACACCTCTGGCCAGGGTCCTGAGCCATCTCTAAGGATATTCCTACTATTATTCTCCTCTACCTTCAGTCCTCCCTATCCATGGGTTCATGCATCTATGGGTTCAACCAACCATGGATGGAAAATATTTGGGAAAAAATTTGCATCTAGACTAAAAATGTACAGACTTCTTGTTCTTGTCATTATTCCCTAAACAATACAACAATGATTGACATAGCATTTACATCATATTAGGTATTATAAGTAGTATCTAGGGATGACTTAAAGTATATGGGAGGATGTGTTAAACTATTCATGAGAACTCTGCCCTCATGACCTAGTCACCACCCACTAGGTCCTACCTCCAACACTGGGGCTTACAATTTGACATGAGATTTGGTGAGGACATAGATCCAAACCATGTCAAAGGACAAATGTCAATTCATCTTACAAAATCAATATTCATTTTAAGTAAATTAATAAAGAAACACAGTTATCAGAATGTATAAGAAATAATTTTGTAATGGCAAGCTATTTTCTAGAAAATAAACATACTCCGTATACAGTATAATGTATGGTTTGCTAGGTTACCATTTGCACTGAGGCTTGGCTTAACCCCATTAATGGTATTTGGTTTTAAATTAGGTCAATATGATCTAATTAAACAGAAACATATAATAATAAGCACAATTCTTAGCACATTACATGTAATTAACTTATTGAATCCTCACGACAACACAACTAAGTAAATTCTATTATTAATTCCATTTTAAAAATGAAACCACCAAAGAACAGGGAACTTTGGTAATTTGCTCCAGGCCACACAGCCAATAAGTAGCAGGTAAGAATTCAAACCCAGGCCCCAGAGGTTGACATTAACCACCATGTATATTTGCCTTAGTAAACTAGTAGAATAACTGACAAAACAGATTATAAAGAGACTACTAGGAATTTCTTGCAGCACTGTGCTTTTCACTATCTGATAATTCAAAAGCAAGAATTCTTCCATAATTTACCAAATGCCACAGTCCAACAGTCTCTCTTGTTTTCTCCTTGTACAGGTTCCATATTAGCAACAGGATCATCTTTTTGCCTTGGGTCCCACACCTTCACAGTTCCTGGTATGCATAAAAGTGAGTTGGCAAAAATTCAAAACTGAACGATCATGTTTCTTTTCTACATTCTTCTATGGCTTCCTGTGTTTGTGGCAATATGACAGATGTTATGACATGTGAAAATATTCACACTGTTTTGACTTCTAATTGAGTAAGTTGTATTTAATATCAGCGATATAACCCATATGTGACTATCTGACTTGATTTCCAAATTAACAGATATACAGAAAAGCCAACAAGTGTTCCTAAGTTACCTACAAGTGAAGACTGGCAAGGCAAATGTGAATATTATAGAATTCAAATCATGAGCCTAAAATAAATGTGTTATTTATTAGGGAAAATACCAGTGTTGTTTTACTTTTTACTTTTCTCCTTACCACCCGTTTAACCATTGGCATGTATACACTCTAACTTCGAATTAATGGTTTCTTATATGAGTTCTAGAATACTATTTTTATTTGTTTGTTTTTTGAGACTGAGTCTTGCTTGCTCTGTTACCCAGGCTGGAGTGCAATGGCGCGATCTTGCCTCACTGCAACCTTCGCCTCCCGGGTTCAAACCATTCTCCCGCCTCAGCTTCCCAAGTAGCTGAGACTACAGGTGCATGCCACCACGCCCAGCTAATTTTTGTGTTTATTTTAGTAGAGACAAGGTTTCGCTACAATGGCCAGGCAGGTCTCAAGCTTCCAATCTCAGGTGATCCATCTGCCTCAGCAACCCAAAGTGCCGGGATTACAGGTGTGAGCCACCGTGCCCCGCCTAGAATACAACTTCATATACAATTATTTTTCCTGTGGCAACAGTGAAAAGGAAAATGTCAAATAAAATTAACAAATAAATTCCCAATTTAATTTCGGCTCCCTTGTTTTAATTCATGTTACGGGACTACGTACTTACTAAACTAGTGTCATTACCTACAAGAAAAGCAATTGCATGTAATAAAGCAGCTCAAAGGCACATACCTGAGAGAGAATAGGAAAAGGGCAAAAAACAAACAAACAAACAAAAAATCCTTAAAAGGAAAATAACTCAGGAAAGGTGGAGTACAACATTAGATATATTTCCAGGGATAAAATAAAGTTGATCATTAAGAGGCTGCTTTACTTTTAATTTATTAATTATTTTGAGACAGGGTCTTGCTCTGTCACCCAGGTTGGAATCTAGTTGTGTGATCATGGTTCACTGCAGCCTCGACCTCCTAGGTCCAAGAGACCCTTCTACTTCAGCCTCCCAAGTAGCTGGGACTACACCACCACAATGGGCTAATTTTTAAAAGCTTTCATAAAGATGGGATCTCCCTAAGTTGCCCAAGCTGGTTTCAAGCCATCTTCCAACCTCAGCCTCCCAAGAGCTAGGATTACAGAGATGAGCCACTACACCCAGAAAAAGTAGGTTTTAAACAGAAAAAAAAAAAAAAAATCCCATATATAGAGATAAGAGATTATCTTTCTCTACAGGATTTATACAAATTGATAAATTTACAGTAAGTCTGCAATAGTTAAATAAGCAAAGAACATAGACTATTCATAAAACAAAACTAACTAGTAAACAGAGAAAAAAGTTAACACAAATTGGAATGGAATACCATTTTGTCTATAAAATAAAAAAGAAAAAAAGGAAATCATTGCTGATGGGGTAGACTGGAAATCTACCTCATCTACTGTAGCTGACTATAAATAGGTACTTCAGAACATTTGCCAATAAATTTTAAACGCTTTTTTTTTTTTTTTTTTTGAGATGGAGTCTCACTCTGTTGCCCAGGCTGGAGTGCAGTGGCGTGATCTCAGCTCACTTCAACCTCCAAATGCCAGGTTCAAGCAAAACTTGTGCCTCAGCCTCCCGAGTAGCTGGGATTACAGGTGTACGCCAACACATGTGGCTAATTTTTATATTTTAGTAGAGACAGGGTTTCACCATGTTGCCTAGGCTGGTCTTAAACTCCTGGCCTCAAGTGATCCACCTGCCTCGACCTTCCAAAATTGTGGGATTATAGGTGTGAGCAACTGCACCTGGCCCAATACATTTTTTAAAAAACCATAAAATGTTTATTCCAAAAGAGATACATATATGACAATATTCATTTACTCATTATTTTTAAGCCACTCTCATAAAACAACAAAAAAAGCAAACCAAAGGCTTATTATAGAGGAATGGTTAAGCACAGTCATATGATGTAATATTACATAATCATTAAAATAATTGTGGAAACAGAAATATTTGCATATGACAAAACATTAAATGAAAAAAGTTTCTAAGATATAAATTCATATTCATACTTATAACTATGCAAAATTATATATAAGACCTAAAAGGAAAAGAAAAGAATCTAATGGTTGTGGTAGTGTGGTAGATTGAATGTTATTTTTCCCCTCTATACTCAATATTGCTTTTATGATTAAAAAAATAAGTGATTTCTAAAACACAGCTGCTCTTGAGAACCCATTAGGAAATTATATGTCATTTTTCTTTTAAAGTAATTTCCTCATGGTCTTGAGCAGCCACTAAATAATTGGCCAAATCAATTACAACAGGTACCAAATTTCTCATGTACCCCTTGTGCAACAACAAAAGTTTTGACTCTCTTAAAGTCATGCAGTATCACTTTGGACACCAAAAGACCTGGCCCTTGCTGGTCACTGCACAGTGGAAGAGCTGAGCTGGTGCCCTTGCAACTCTCTATAATGCTTAGTGGATGGATCACAGAACTTCAGTTTTCAACCAGCTGTCAATATGACAATTTTCACAAGTACTAATTCTGCCTCTTAAAAAAAGAAAATGAAAAGCTACCACCCACATTATATTGTCAGCTGCCTCAAAAACCTGTAAAGACATTTTAAATCCTTCAAGGTTCAGAGGAAACCATCATTGTTAGTGGTTGAACCAGTTCGACACTAAAATAGTATTAAGTGCTATGAATCTATCTCAAAATACCCAAAAGTCTGAAACAATCAAGGGACAAGCAATCAAACTTGCCTGTTAAAGAAGTAGAAGCAAGACTGTTAGATTTAGGGAGTCAAGGTGACCAAAGGGGATTTTTACTCAGAGAGGACGTACTGTTACATAGAGATTCCCATTAAAATAAATAGATAAAATACATAGAATACATTGACTCACCATCGCGGCTGCCAGTCACAATTTCAGGTGCTCCTTCTCCAATTCCTAGTCCACCTACACCATCTATTGCATTTATAATTTCTTTATGGCCCTTTACAGAATATACTGGCATCTCTGGAGCTTCTAAATTCCTAAACAACAAACACAGCTTTTTATACCACATGTCTCAAACATTTAAATCCACTACTAAAATTTAAAAAGATATATTATAGTTAGATTTTTTGTTTAGAAATTAGGGTTTTGCTATGAAGATAGTTTACATATTTATTTGCACTTCTGAAATTTTCTCTCCATTTCAACTTCTTTCAAGCCCCCAACGAGAACTGTCATCATTCAATTTGGAATTTTAATCCTGAGCTCACTTTACTTAGTGTTCTTCAAAGACGATCTATCCAAGACCCCCACAGATGAATTACCAGGTGTGCTTGTTAATAAATGTAGACTCATGGGCTTCTCCCCAAGCATAATGAATCAGGATCTCAGATGGGTCTCAAAAACAATGACTGTGGTACATTGAAGTCTGAAAAAATACTGCTTCAAATATAGAGTAAAACCAAGGTAGGTCAAGGCTGCAGTGAGCTAAGATCATGCCACTGCCCTCCAGCCTGGGTGACAGAGCAAGACCCTGTCTCAGAA